ACACTCATGAGAGCTTAGAGAAGCTTGATTTTGAGTTCTATTGATTGGAATATCGATTCCAAGTCAAGGACATCGGTTTTCTCTTCACAAATCCTAGCAGATACGTTCCAAAGTGTTGGAATTCATCCCGTCGGTGTGGATACATGTAGAGGGGTTGTGCTTTCAACTCTTGGTGATTAAAACAGGCCCTGGATCGATTGATACTTCCAGATCTTGAAAGAACGAGGTAAGTATTCGAATTCCACGACGATATACACGATTGTTCGGGTTATTGCACAATTGGTTTTGTGTGACATTTGGCTAGGTTTAGATCTTTCCTTCCGCTGCGTGAAACCTAGAATCCAAACCCTAGATCGATGAGATCGCATGCTAGGAACCCGAAGGGAACCCAACACATGCATCATTCAACAATCACAAATATCATTAAACATGCATAGATTCAATGATTACATGCAATTTAACGATTAAATCGTGCAACAACAAGCAGGCTCTGATACAACTGTTGGGGAATCTACGGGTTCCTAGCATGCGATCATATCGATCTAGGGTTTGGTTTATGATAACACACAATATACACGATTTCGACACGCATTCATCTGACATATCTATTTAGCTCTACATCATCAGAGATGTTTAATTGCGTGTTTAGCCTTGATTTTCGCTTGGATAGTATATATTTGCAGGTACGAGCAATAGGAGCGAAAAAAAGGACAAAAACCCCGGAAAAGAACGAGCTTTAATGTTACACACGATCGTGTCATTTATACTCACACGATCGTGTCTCATCAACCAGAGGACCACCATCGGATCGAGAGTCCACCCGATCGTGTCACATGCCAACACACAATCGGGTCATTTCGCCAGACAAGAGAAGTTTCGAAGTCTCACCCGATCGTGTCACATGCCATCACACGATCGGGTCAAGTCGCGAAAAATCTGATGGTGGAATCAACAGCCTCACACGATCGTGTCCTCTGGAACCACACGATCGTGTCACTCACGGGACTTTCCAGGAATATTTCCAAATCTGGGCAGAAAAGAAGGAGTTAACTAGGGTTAGCCCCCAAGAAAAGATTCATTCAGACTTTCACAGACAAGAGGAGAACGGGAGAGCTTACACAAGGGGGAGATTATCAGGAAGCAAGAGATAGGAGTAGAAGACGGAGATCACGAAACCGAGAAATCGACTAAGAGTTTCTTCCTTATTCTATTTTACGATGTTTTGTTGTATGGATATGAACCCTGTCGTCTTGATGTTTAGCGAGTAGTCCAATAGCTGTAGGTTAGGGATTTGCTATGTAAGGATCTTTGGTTTTTATTTCCAGACCTTATGGATTTATTTATTCTATTCAGTTTATTGAATTGTTCTTAATGAGTTTGATCTTGTTGGCCACTTGGTTGAATGATCTTAGAGTTTTAATTCACATAGACATATGAGATTTTAACCTGGAACTAATTCAATAAATAGAACAGGTATCACATCGGGAGATGGGTATTTGCCTAGGAATCATGATAGCGTTCGTTCATGCATCCAGAGTTTTAGACTATCAAATCGGGAGATTGGTAGGATTAAACCTGGATAGTGAGATTAGACTTGGAAGAGTTGATCTCTATCTTAGAGCTTGAATTCCCTGGATTGGATAGATAAACCACTACGTTTGCATCTTTTGAAAGATCCTTGCATGTAAAGCAATCCCGAAGCCTGCAGTGTTCATCATTCATAATTTATAACAGTTTTTATTGTTTCCTTTGCTACCTTCTCACATCCACATTATTTTCTCTGGATTTAGATTTGATTCAATTGTTTACTTGTCCATCCATGTGTTCGACCCTATCTACTACACACGATCCGTACACTTGCGGTTAATTGTTGAGTCTAGGAATATTATTACTTGATCATATTTCTGCACCTAGATTGACGACATCAAGTTTTTGGCGCCGTTGCCGAGGATAATTTAGGCAACATGATTAGATCCTATCTAGTCTTGATCTTTTGTTTTTCTTTTTCTTAAGTAATTTCTCACGTTTTCTTCGTTTGTCTGTTGTTTTTTTCGTTTGTGCGCAGGGTTCCCTAGTGCATGACCAGAAGTGTTGGGACATCAAACCTAGTGCCTTTTGATCCTGAACTTGAAAGGACCATTACACACATCCGTCGACAACAGAGGCAAATGGAGAACGATCGAGATCTTGCTTTTCCCCCTGAAGCCGAAGGCAATGTTGACTCAACTTTTGCTCAATACAACACGCCGAAGCACACCGAGCTTATGGCCGGTATACGACTGCCGACCATCGATATGACTCGTTTTGAGCTTAACCCGGCTACCATTCAGATGCTTAGCAATAATTCCTTCCGGGGTAGGCCAAACGAAGACCCGAACGCACATCTTACGCGCTTCAAGATGATGTGTCGCTCGATCAAAAGAGAGGCCAGGGTGACGGACGATGACCTCCGTCTACTCGCTTTTTCCTAGACTCTCATGGATGCTGCACTGGAATGGCTATACGACTTAGCCCCTGATTCCATCCATACTTGGGATCAATTGGAAGTTCAGTTCATGTCTAAGTTCTTTCCAACCTATCGCACTCAAGCAGCTCTCTCTCCGGTATACATTCGTTTAAGCAGGATCAAAGGGAGAGTTTACACGATGCTTGGAGAAGATACAAATCATGCCCTCATCATGGACTTGAAGAGAATTATCTGATCAACACTTTCTTCCGAGGGCTCCACAACGATAACAAGACTTTGATCCGCGCCTCCTGCGATGGCAGCATCCAAAATAAGTCATTCATAGAATCGAAACAACACATTGAGATGATGGCTCAAGAGGAAGACGTTCCTCGCGAATATTCTCGCGATATACCAAAGAGAGAAGGCGACCCCAGCCTGAAGATGGTGATTGATACACTCCCCCACAGATGCTCCTACACTCCCCCAAGATGATCTCGACATGTATGCAGTGGAAGAGAGAACCGAAGATCTCAACTACGTGAACAACAACACCTACACGAACTCATATAATCCAGGGTGGAGGAATCATCCTAATCTCTCTTACAAGTCCAACAACATCGAGAATCCTACACCAAATAATCCGAGGGCATCTCACAATCCGAATCAGAGGATTCCACCCGGTTTTGCTTTTCAATTCAGGGGTCCTAATCAGAATTCCTACTACAGAGCTCCGGGGCAGGCCTACAACAATCCCACGCCTTCTGGTAATCGTGACCTTTTGCAACATACATATGCTCTTATTCAGCAACTCATGCAGGAACATGCAAAGACGACTCAAGAGTTCTGCACTCAATTCGCGAGCATTGATGCCCATTTTAAGCTCGTAGACAATCAGATTGCCCAGTTGGCAGCAGATTCTCAAAGACCGTCTGGCGGCCTTCCAGGTAAACCTGAGACTAACCCTCGCGAACACATTAATGCCATCACTTTGCGGAATGGTAAACAGGTAGACAGCCGACACTCCCCAATGATCGAGCAAAGCGAGGTTTCGAATGATCATGTTAGTCCGCAGGACAGCCCGAACCAGCATACGTACCTCCTCCTCCTAGGCCTCCACCAGTACCATTTCCATCCCACCTGAGGAAGCACAATGAAGACAGCCAATTCGCTAAGTTCGCAGAGATGCTAAAGAAGCTCGAGGTAACCATGCCCTTTACTGAAGCTATTTTACATCCTGACCAAGAAGAGGGTCGTCGAGAAAGAAACCGTGGCTTTCACTGTCGAGTGCAGTGCATTGATACAACACGAGTTACCACCCAAGCGCTCAGACCCAGGTAGTTTCTCGATCCCTTGTACATTGAGTAACGTTTACATCGATCGTGCTTTGTGTGATTTAGGCGCCAGCGTCAGAAACGTGGGTGAACTCAAACCCACTCGGATGGCCCTCCAATTGGTTGATCGCTCTGTTAAGTACCCTGCTGGAATACTTGAAGACGTCCCTTTGAAAGTCAGAAATTTCTACATCCCAGTTGATTTCGTGGTTCTAGACATGGACGAAGATTCTAAGGTACCCATCATTCTAGGTCGTCATTTCCTTAATACTGCCGATGCTGTTATTCATGTTTGAGCAGGTCAACTCACCATGAAGATTGGTGACGAGACGGTAGAATTCACTCTAGACAAAACCCTCAAGCAACCGTCGTCTACAGAATCTGCTTGTCTCATTGATATCTTCGGACCTCTAGCCAAAAAGGTAATGCATCAATTACATCGTGACGATCCTTTAGAATTAAATCTTCTTTCGCAGGATAGCATCTACGCCGACATTGACCAGATGTGGATCTACGGTCATATTTTAGAGCATGATGCATTTTTAGGGAATGTCGAGCTCGACACGATCGTGTCTAACCCTCCATACGATCGTGTCACTGGTGTTTCAACTCCTAGAATAGTTCAGCAAAATGACCCGATCGCGTCTCTAGGGCATACGGTCGTGTTGCCGGTGTTTCAGCACCCGACAGATTTCAGCATTCTGACCCGATCGTGTCCCCGCTTCAACACGATCGTGTGGACAGTACCTCAATTTCCGAACGATTTCCAAAATCTGACCCGATCGTGTCTGACGTGGTACACGATCGTGTCGCTCTCTTAGCTCAATATGACACGATCGTGTCCACAAACACCACCCGATCGTGTTTAGTCTCAGACATCCTGCTTGGTCCAACTTCACCGCACGCTTTCCCTCTGGCCGCCACCGATTCAGGTATGTCTTCCGACCCATTAACTGATTCTGTCTTTACCGTCATAACTACCCCCGAAACCAACGATTGGAATCCGGAATGTGCACCGACACTCGAATTGAAGCCTCTTCCGAAAGGACTCCGGTATGAATACCTTGGATCAAATTCCACATATCTTGTTATCATTAACGCCGACTTGGATTCCTCCCAAGTCGATCTTTTGTTAGCAATGCTGCGCAAATACAGGAAAGTGATAGGTTACACGATCGGCGATATCAAAGGTATCAGTCCATCCTTATGTATGCATCGGATTCACCTTGAAGATGAGACAAAAACTTCTATTGAACATCAACTTTGTCTCAACCCAAAGCTTCAAGACGTCATCAAGAAGGAAATAATGAAACTTCTAGATGCAGATATTATCTTTCCTATCTCCGATGGCTCTTGGGTTAGTCCTGTGCAGGTGGTGTCGAAGAAAGGTGGGATGACAGTCATAAAAAATGATCGGAACGAGTTGATACCGACAAAGACTGTCACAGGATGGCGTATGTGTATTGATTACAGGAAACTTAACGCAAATACAAGGAAGGATCATTTTCCACTGCCATTATCGATCAAATTCTCGAACGACTCGCTCCACATTCTTATTTCTGCTTTCTTGACGGGTACTCAGGTTTCTTTTAGATCCCTATACATCCCTCTGACCAAAAAAAGACTACGTTTACTTGCCCATATGGTACATTTGCTTATAGACGTATGCCTTTTGGTCTCTGTAATGCACCTGGCACTTTTCAGCGTTGCATGATGGCTATCTTTTCGGATGTCATCGAAGATATTATGGAGGTGTTTATGGATGACTTTTCCGTCCATGGTCCCTCCTTCGATGTGTGTCTGACGAATATTTCTCAAGTCTTAGACAGGTGCTCACAGGCTAATTTAGTGCTCAATTGGGAGAAATGCCATTTCATGGTTCGCGAAGGCATCGTTCTAGGCCATAAGATTTCAGAAAGAGGGATCGAGGTTGACCGAGCGAAGATAGACGTAATCGAGAAACTGCCCCCTCCTTGCAACGTCAAAAGCATCCGCAGTTTTCTCGGTCATGCTGGCTTCTGTAGGAGGTTCATTAAAGATTTATCTAAGATCTCCAAACCTCTTACCGATCTGCTCTGCAAGGAAGCATTATTCGAGTACACGGCTGAATGCGATACTGCATTCCAAACTCTGAAGAAAGCTGTAACGTCTGCCCCTATCATCCAACCTCCTGATTGGAATCTACCTTTCGAGATCATGTGTGACGCCAGTGACTACGCAGTTGGCGCAGTTCTCGGCCAACGTAAAGACAAGAAACTTCACACTATTTATTACGCAAGCCGAACCCTAGATGATGCTCAGACGAACTACACTACGACGGAAAAGGAAATGCTTGTTATTGTCTTCGCATTCGAGAAGTTCCGATCATACCTCATCGGGGCCAAAGTCATTGTCTTCACTGATCACGCCGCACTCCAGTATCTCTTGTCCAAGAAAGATGCTAAACCACGTCTTATCAGATGGACACTACTTTTACAGGAGTTTGACTTGGAGATCCGGGACAGAAAGGGAACAGAAAACAGTGTTGCTGATCATCTATCGCGACTACAGATTCTCGAGTTGATCCCCATCGACGACTCACTTCGAGACGAACAGATCATGGCCATATCCGTACAGTCCGAAGCACCTTGGTATGCTGACTACGTCAACTTCCTGGTTAGTGGCCTCATCCTCACGAGTTGAATTACAATGGAAGAAAGAAATTTTTCCATGACGTACGTGATTTTTTCTGGGATGAGCCATTCTTATTCAAGCGCGGCAAAGACGGACTATTCCGACGATGAATCCCCGAGGATGAGATTCAACGAGTGATCTTCCACTGTCACTCCTCCGACTATGCCGGACATTTCGCTAGCTCGAAGACAACCTCCAAAATCCTTCAAGCAGGTTTTTACTGGCCATCTCTATTTAAAGATGTTTATCGGTTTGTCTCTTCTTGTGATGCTTGCCAGCGCACCGGAAACATCTCACGCCGGCATGAAACACATCAATAGTTCATCCTGGAGGTTGAACCCTTTGATGTTTAGGGGATCGATTTTATGGGCCCTTTTCCGCCCTCGCGTGGACATCTCTACATATTGGTTGCAGTGGACTACGTGAGCAAATGGGTTGAAGTAGTAGCTAGCACGACGAACGACTCTAAAGTCGTTTCGCGAATGCTTCAGAGAGTCATTTTCCCTCGTTTTGGCGTACCGAGTCTTTTAATCAGCATGGAGGGACTCACTTTGTGAACCGGATCGTCGAGAATTTACTGAAGAAGTATGGGGTTCAACATCGAGTTACCACACCCTATCATCCGTAGACCAGTGGCCAAGTCGAAATCTCTAACCGGGAGATCAA